AAAAGATGATTTTGTGGCCAGCAAAGGATGGCTAGAACATTTTAAAAGTCGTCAATAAAGATAAGTGCTCAGTGATGCTTTTTTGTACTGCTGTCAAACGTAACACTATATTGTATTCTCTTGATGTATAAAATGGACAAGGAGCGTCTAGCTGTCGTAAATACTACAAAAAATTTAGGGTTGATTATTGATTATACTTTACGGTTTAAGGAGCAGGTTTCGTCTATCTAAAATGTTATGCAACTTTGAAGTGTTTTTATGTCAATCGCTCGATATTGAATTTCAAAGTTAGAAAAAAGTTATGTGAGGCTATTATATTTCCAAGCTTATTTTACTGTAGCACTGTGTTCTATCATTGTCTTGATTCTATCACAAAAGCAAGACTCCAAAAACTCCAAAATACTTGTTGTCGATTTGTATTTAATCTCAAGAAGTATGATCATGTTTCCTTAAAGAGATTTCAGCTTGGTTGGATGTGTATAGAAAATGCTTGCAAGTACCATATAGCAGTGTTTACACATAAGATCACATCTTCTCGATCCCCCTTGTATCTTTATGAAAAAATTTTTTTCAGACGAAATAATTCAGACATTGATTTTAGACACAAAAAAAGACTAGAGATCCCTATGTATAAAACAACTTTATTTCGTAGTTCATACACTTACAATGCTATCCTGATTTATGATGAATTAGATGACAATATAAAGGATTGGCCAGTAAACAGATTTCGTAAGCATGTGAAACAGATTTATTTGTCATTGTAGTAATTGTGGAAAAGTTAGTTTTAATTCTTACATTTTATTTTATTTTTACGTAATATATGTGTGTATATATGTATGTCAGGAAGCTATCAAGCTCGTTGTTTTGAAGCGTCTTTTGCTGCTTGTCAAAGTTTCCTTTGATTAAGTGTTTCAATTTATTATTTGGGTAGGTTAAGTAGAGAAGCCATTATGTTGTAGTTTATATAATGTGCCCAATAAAGACATTTTATTATTATTATTATTATTATTATTATTATTATTATACGTTTAATGACTATTACAGGAGAGAAACTTTCTAACGTTGCCACCTGCATAGAGCCCTTTGAATTAAGATTTTTGCAAAAGGTGACGATTTAAACCTTGACCCGTCACAGGTGTACAATGCAGACGAATCAGGGCTTTTTTGGCGCGTGATGCCTTACAAAACTTTCGTTTCTTGTAACTAAAAATCCGTACCTAGACGAAAAGTAAGTAAAGAGCGTGTAACCATACTACCATGTGCTAACGCTGCGGGCACACATGCGCTTAAGATGATGGTCATTGGGAAATAAAATAATAAACCACGGGCATTCAAAAACATTGATTTACCTGTACACTATTACGGACAAAAAAGTGCATGGATGACAAAAGACCTTTTCAAAAAGTGGTTTGATGAATGCTTCATACCCGAAGTTAGAAAATGGTTAAAAGATCATAATTTTCCTCAAAAAGCGTTGTTGCTTCTTGATAACGCTCCCGGTCATCCGTCTGAAGAAGAACTAACAACTGAGGATAAATGCATCACTGCAATGTTTCTTCCTGCAAATTGCACTGCACTGATTCAACCAATGGACCAGAATATTATTCAGTTTGTCAAGCAAGACTATAAGAATAACCTACTTCTGAGAGCCGTATCAAAAGACCAACCAATAGAAAAAACGTTAAAAGAATTTAATATGAAAGACTTGGTTTTTGATCTTTGTCAGTCGTGGAATGCGTTACCGTCATCAACTATTAAATCGTCTTGGAAAAAGTTACGGCCAGATATAGTCACCACTCCTAGAAACGTTCCACAAATCAGTGTTACTTCTAAAGTTATAGAACAAGTCGCCACTGAAACATAGATAAGTCCGAAAGATTTGGAAGGCTGGTGCCGTGTAATGGATAAAGAGGAAAATGTTTTTCATGAAATGTCTGACGAAGAGATTATAGAAGAGGTTTCTAATTATACAACAAACAATCAGAAAAACAACGACGACGTGATTGCAACTGCTCTACAAGTCACAGCACAAGACGCAATTAACGCCTTTGAGCTAGGTTTACAATGGGCTGAAGAGAATGGTACATCCTACAACGAACTTTTACTTTTGAGAAGACTGAGGGACAAAGCTCTGATCTCGCATTATAACAACCTTAAACAAAACAAAATTGATGAATATTTCCAAGCTTCATAATTTGATAAATTCGTTAATGATTTTGATTAATCATTCTTGATTATTTTGGTACATATGTATGTGCATTTATGCTTACTTTTATAATAAAACGTAAGCTCTCTATTGTTATTTAATTTACTAAATTCAACACACATAAACTATGTATGATTTGTACTTCAAAGTACATACATATACATAACATATATAATCTTACCATTGGATATGTAATTTGTCGGATTACAAGGTACCCTTTTGCAAAAAATTCCGGACTATAGGGGGTCTTCGGCAGTGCACTGCACTGCATAATGTTTGTCGGATTACCGGAGGTCCACTGTATATGGAAACTCTTGTTTATGTGGTTGTAAAAACAGATTGTATTGTTGGCGATGTCTTCTGTTTTATACAGAATAAAATGCAGCGGAGTCAACGATTTAAATGGTTTTAGGGCTCTAAAGAGGAGACATGAAATTTATCCGTTACATGTGAGATGTGTAGCCAATTTAATACAGTTTGGCAAAACAAGAATCAAAAGTTGTCTTAACCAAGCTTTTAGGCAGCACACTTCTGGCAAAATAGCAATTACCGTACATTTTGAAGGGGATATGACTCTGATAATAGAGGAAATTACAGGAAATTGTTAAGATTCATCGCCAAAAAAGATCAAAAATTTTCCGAACATCTAGAAACGTCGACTGTTTTTTCGGACGGCTTGGATTAGTCATAGCATAAGACGATGAGGTATATCAAGTGCCCAGACGCTCAATCCAGGAATGTTTACCTTAATTTAAACATAGTTTAAATAAAATACCTAAAATAAGCAAAAACTTAAATTTGGGAGGTTCAAAATAAACTTTTTTTAATAAGATTTTTCACATCTGGTTTTGGTAACAGTTTAGGAAAAGTCACGCGTTGCCATTGGTGTGGAAGTTTAATTCTAGATTGCGTCTAGTACTTCATGCCATAGCCTTAACTCTCATAGTTCAGGGCAGCTATAGTCTTCATAATTAAAACCTCTATTCAACTTTACTTCTGAGAAAACACCAGCTAAAATCAGCATATTCATCAATATTGCCTTTCTTCTCTATCTTATGAACAATGCTGATTATTTTTTCGGATGTACGAGCCCCTTCCCACTTCAGTTGGCCCACTTCAAGATTTGTACCAACATATGCCTTTGTAAACTAAACATGACGAAACTATTTACTTCTAAGACAATTTATTTTCTCAAAAACATTTTAGATACACTCTAGTCGTAAAAAATACATATTTGAAATCACCTATAACTAATAGAACATCTGAACAAATAAACAATGTGCGAATAAATGCGCGAAGTTAACAAAGCAACAATTGCAAGATTACCATTGGGTAACATCAGCTTTATTTTTTATTACGGGTGAAATTCTTTGGGGCATAACGTTTACCGAATTTTGGCAAAAATTTGGTGTAAAACAATCCCATATTTCTTGAAGCTTCTGTCTCAGTTCGGTGATTGTACGAGCAGGATGTTGTCGTAGAACCTTTTTCATCTCGTGCCACAAAGTTTCAATAGGTGACAGATCTGGACTGCTAGAAACCCATTTCAAAAGTGGTACATTATTTTCTTCCATCCATTTTATAGCCTTTTTTGAGGTATGACGCGCTGCACCATCTTGCTGAAACACAAAATCTTGGCCGGATGTCAAACATTCTTCCATTACTGGTAAAAGCGATTCTTCTAATATTGCCAAATATTTGTTTGTATCCACATTTCCATCAATAAAGTGAAGTTTTCCTACTCCTTTCGATGACATACTGCCCCAGACCATAATGGATGCTGGAAATTTCACTTTTCTCTTCAGACAGTCAACATGGAATGCTTCATTTTTTTGCGAATAAATCTACTGCGACTGTCACCAACACAAACTTCGAATCGGGCCTCATCACTCCATTGTATTGCACACCATTGTTGAGGTGTCCATTGTCTATGTTCTTTAGCCCATCTAAGCCGATTTTTCTTTTGCAGTGGAGTTAATAGTGGCTTTTCTTTGGCCTATAAACAAGTTGTGCAACTTTAGGGTTTTTACTTCACCTTTTTTTATAAGAAAACTTACCTTGCAAGTGCTAAATCCCAGTTTGTGGGCCTCTCTATGAGTTGTGGACCTCGAAATTCTTCTTCCAACAGCGTCACTCCACAGAGCACTAATTGTAAATAATTGGCACGTCTGTTTTTCACGATTATTCTCCTTAATGCTCTTCGGTCGGCATTTGTGATATTACTTTTGTCACATATCGTGGCTTAATATTAACTGAACCAGTTACGTTATATCTTCTAACAATATTTCTCACACTGTTCCGCGATAAGTCTAACAAAGTTGCAATTTCTGAGTTTGATTTCCCAGAATTAAAAAATTTAATTATCAGTAACCGAATTTTCTCACTAATAACCTTTCCTCTACCCATTTTGGGAACGTTAACTACCCAAAACTATTTTAAACGTATTCTGACAGCTGTGATTAATAAAAACAATCGTCATGGCTTTTATTTTTTACAGCCACCTATGCGTTATAGACTTATTTTGCACTGAAATGAAAATAGGTTGATATGCTGTAATTGCAACATGTGTTACTTTTATGCCGCAAATTTGATTAGGGAGTGATAAAGTTGGTGTTTTTTACTATATATTATTAAAATATTCATTGTTAATATTTTAAACCTATAACACCCTGCTACATTTGTATTATTTGTGCTGAAAAGAAAAAAACTAAGATTTCAATAGTTGGGCCAACTGAAGTGGGAAGGGGCTCGTATATAGTGTAATACCCAGATATCAACTTGATAAAAAACTCACCTTAAAAGCTCAGTAGATAGTTTGCACAACAAATTGTCATAATAAGTAAATATATCAATCCGATATATTTTTAATTATTTACAACTAAGTATTGTACGCTGAAACTGAAACGACAGAAGCAAAAGCAAATTGTCGACAGTAGAATAAAAATATATACATATAAGTTTATACCGGGGCAAATATTTGCGAAACAAATACCGTATACTTATTTGTTCTTCTGAATTAACGCGAAATGCTTAATCATACTTAATTGTTCACAAGCGTAATACGGTCATGATTATATACGATAAAACTCATTTTTCGACAGATAATGTATGAATGTGTATGACATTGAATTCCAAATGTGCATGATGGATCTGTAATTATTATATCATTACAATTATCTAGACGCTGTGCAACTAAAAATTGGTGTCAAGTAGATTGAAGCTGCAATTCTATAATTGCAGTTTAGATTTGATTCAAATTGTTAAATATCCGGTCCTTTGAAAATGACATGTTTGCAATGCAAATCGTGTACAATTATAAGTACAAGTATATCCTTATCAATGAACCTGACCATGACATTCAAGGTCATTTTAATATCAGATAAATTTCCAAGTAAACTCTTCACTTTTTGTCGAGGATATAAAAAAGCGAAACATTGAAACTAATTTATTGTTGCATTGAAATGTCGGATAAAAAACGTACATTGCCGAATAAGCTGTTACCTTACTTTGAATATTGCATTTCCTTCTCCGAAACCAATCTCCTTCTCACAATAATATAGTTTCAACCTACCGAATCCGCAGATTTAGTTCTAATGTTGCATATAAATTTCAACTGAATTGTTTGACCCAACTACTTTATGATAGCAAGGAAGTAATATAAGAAAATTTTTCAGATGTTACTTCATTCTATAGACTTTAAATTTCTTACTAACCGTGCTCCATTTCTGAGTTGCGTAATTTAAAATCAGAATCTGAATGCTACTTTTTAACACGCTTTTATTATTAGCTTGCCCTGTATGCATGTTACAGAAGTTTGATTAATCTGAAACCTCGCACACGTACCAAGGACTGATAACAATGCAATAATTTGATAACAGTACTTATTCCATTATCCTTATTCATGAAATTCTGTAAAAAGCAAATATTTCAATAAAAAGCCACCGATTTCAAATGCCGTCTTACGTATAGCGAAACTACAAGCCTCTGTAGGTCAGTGGGCTTGTAAACCAGGGGTCGTGAGTTCAATCCTCACAGGAGGCAGATTGTGGTATAACTTTTTTTAACACGCTTTTATCAGCTTGTCCTGTACGTATGTTTACAGGGTGTTCCTTAATGATATGCGAATATTTAAGGGTGTGAATCTACATAAAAAATTAATGTTAGTTTGCTTTATAAACTATGGTCTAAACATGTTTCCTTACAAAAACTCGGGGTGTCGAAGTTTTAGGGAAAAAATGGAAATTCAATTCAATTCAGTGGACTTTATTGTAACACATACATAATTATGTATCCTTACAAATGGCGAAGTCTCGCCAATGGCCATTTATACTTAACCATAAATGTCATGTCAATGCTTATTACTACCTTAAAAATAAAATAAAAACTGAAAAAGAAAAGGAAAAAGAAGAATAATAGTAAAAGGAGAATTAATAAATATGACATAATGCGTACGGTTAGAACAAAAGACATAATACATACGATTCAAAGAGAAGACAATAACCTAAGAGCTCAATAAGTAGTTCTTATTTTTTTTTTAGAAAAGTTGCTGATGAAACATTGTTCGAAAGAGTTGATCAATTTCACCGCATTATACGTAAAAGATCGTTGAAAAATGGCTGTCCTATGTTGTGGCGTTGTCAGGAGATTAATGTTGCGCGTATTCAAATTGTGAATTAAATTCCTACGAACAAGCTTTTGCATAAGATAAACCGGAACAGAAGTTTTTAATATTTTTACGACAAATGTAACAAAGTTGTATTTGAAGAGATCAGAAATTTTCAACCAATTCATTGATGATATTGAGTGAGAAACATGATCGTACCTTTTTAAATTGTTTATGTAATGACTACATGAGTTTTGAATTTTTTGCAGTCTGTATTTTGTGATTTCATCCAGACAGGGATAATAAACTATGTTACAGTAAGCGATTTTACTGAGTATGAGTGACTCGCATAACATTTTCTTAATTTTTCTATTTAAAACAGTTTTACTTGCATATAGAAGCCTGAGTCTAAACTAACTAGACTTACACACATAGCCAACATGCTCCTGAAATCTGAAATCTTCATCCAAGTACAAACCTAAATTTTTTGCAGAATGGGAAAATATTAGGATACTATTATTTAGTGATAAATTTAACTTTGATTTGAGGAAAGTACGTTTTTTCTTGGAGCAAAAAAGTATAGCTGTCGATTTCGATGCGTTTAGACGTAAATTATGTTTTGCAGCATACGTGCATAAGGTTGTTAGCTAAACGGTAGTTGTTCGGACAGAAATTATGAAAAACCTGCATATCATCAGCTTATGATTGACTAGAACAATGTTGAAGGGTGTTAGAAATGTCAAAGGTGTAAATTAATTAATATTTTCAGAACCGCTTCAGATATTTCACTGATATTTAGTAAATAATGAAAGTTAATAAAGTTGCATATTTTTCAATGCAAACATGATTTTTAGCTTTAACAGTGGCGTGTGTACGGGTATTGACTTCGATATTTAAAAAAAAAGTGTTTTCTGGAAAAATAAAAACTAGTTTTGAATTCCCCGTTCAATTTAAAACAAATAATTTCTCTTTAATTGTTTTCCTTCGATGCGCCATTTTTGAGTAAAAAAATAAAAACCGTGCTATTGTCCGAGAAAATTGATGAAATAACTGAAGAATGCAATTTAGCAATAAATATCTAGTTGCTCTGGAATATGTCACTCGCTTTTGACATCTGACAAGTCTCTGTTATTCAAATTTGTTCGCTGTGACATGTTTTCCATGATTTAGTTTTTACAATCTTGTTAATAATGGTGAATTATTCAAATGCAGAAATGGCGGACATGCATTACGTATACGGCCTTGTCGACGGTAATGGTGAGCAACCCAGACGAATTTATCACCAGAGATAACCCGATCGTGCTTTGCCAGATAGTCGAACCTTTTCTAATATTCAGCGTCGTCTTGTTGAAACTGGTTCTGTCCGAAAAGTAACATCTGAAGGTAGACCTCTAAGTGTGAGCAATCAGTGCTGCACGAAGTCGAAGAACATCCTGAAATTAGTGCGAGGAAGATCGCTAGACACTTAAATATTTGCCACTAAATTGTTTAGAGAATTTTAGTGGATTTTTTGTTATATCGTTACCATATTTTAAGAGTACAGACATTACTTCCCATTGATTTTCCAGGACGTGTGACCTTTTGTCAGTGGTATCTTCAAAAAATTACACAAAATCTGCAAGTTGAATCAATGATTCTGTTCACGGACGAAGCTAATTTTTCTCGAAATACCATTCAGAAGTTCCACAATAACCAGTTGTGGGCAGAAGAAAATCCCTATGCGGTAACCCAACCCATTTCCAACATCAATTTTCAGTTAACGCATGGGCAGGAATTATTGTCAACCACTTTATTGGCCCATCCTTCTTGCCGGGACGACTTGACGGACAGACTTACCTCATTTTTCTTCAACAACAGTTGCCTTTGCTGTTTGATGATGATCCGTTAGTAATAAGAAACAATATGTGGTAAATGCATGATGGTGCACCAGCGCATTTCAGTGGCACTTTCACAAAAGTGCTTCGAGCAAACCCTAGCGCTTTTTATATTGACTTTGATTTTTCTTTTGTATGATGTAGCCATTTTTTGCTAAGGTTTGGGTCTTAGAGGAAAACTGTAGAACTTCATGTCTTTGCAAGGATACCGTTCAGACTGGTTATCGGAATTACATCGCACAACAGCACACCGCATTTTTAACTTTAACGGGCTATATAAAGAATGTATAACTAATAGAACAGGTCACAAAACCGCCAAAAAACACCAAAAAATCGCACTGTATAGTATTAACCACGATACACGTGAACTGCAGTAACGTTACGACAATCCTGCCGCTGGTAACCACGAGCCGGCAACTCTCCGGGTGACGTCACGAAGCTCCGCCCACATGCGCAATATCCTATACTCAGTGTATGTGTATCGTGAGTATCATCTGACTCTACGCTGCAATACTATGAGCATGCGCCTTTGTTTCGCCCCAAAATATATTCTATGCTCAAACTCTACGGGACTTGGATGGTCATGAAGACCACTTTTTGCCCCAATTACTCCGAAAAAGTTTTCTATCACATCTTTATTCAGACTCCTTGTTAACAGGTAATTTACGCTGAAGCGTCATTTTAGATCCTTTAGGAGCATTTTTATAGCGGAATTAGAAAGTAGCGTGATACAGATTTCGGTAAATTTTCCGCAGCAATGGCTTTCATCTTTTAGAGCACGATATCTTTTAGGGGTGTCACCCAAAAGGGTACGTTTCACAGTGACCTTATACGCATTTTCACAAAAGTGCTTCGAGCACTTTAGTTTACATTGACTTTGTCTTTTCTTTATGTAAGATGTAGCCAATTTTTGCTAAGGTTTGGGTCTTGAGGACAACTGCGTCTTTGCAAGGATTCCGTTTAAACTGGTTGTCGGAATTACATCCTACAACAGCACACTACATTTTTATCAATTGATCAACCACACAGTTTATATAAAGTATGTATAACCAATACAACAAGTTACAAAACCACCAAAAAATCGCAGTATACAGCATTAAACACGAAGCACGTGCACTGCAGTAACGTTACGACAATCCTGGCGCTTGTAACCACGAGCCGACAATTCTCAAGTTGACGTCACAAAGCTCCGCCCACATGCGCAACATCCTATAGTCAACGCCAAACAAAGTGGCGTGCACGTCATCAAGGTGGGTGTGTTGAAAAATTTACATTGTTGCCAAACTTTTTGTAAAATAATAAAATTTATTATTTACATATCTAGGTTTATAAGCAATATTAACCTCAAATGAGAACAAAAATAATAGTATAATAAAATTATAGATCTGTACTTGCATAATCATTAAGTATGACAATTATTGATCAGATGACACTATGAAACTACCATATTTAATTGATAGCTTAAAGGCACTGAATAAAAATCCAAATGGGGTCCTCCAAATTTTATGCATGGTATTTATTTTACAGAATTCATACAGAAAAATGCATTCTAAAATTAGGTAAGCTACTGGTGTAAGCTTTTTCTGTACAATAAAGTTAGTCGGAGTTTCTTTCTTCAGCGCTGTCTGAA